GAGGGAAGGGGAGGGGGGGGGTCTGGATCAAAAAGCAGAGTCCCAACGAAATTGTTATTGCGCCGCCACCCCCCCCCCCTTCCCTACACAGAGAAGCCGGAGAGGAGACGTGGCGAGTGTTTTGCTCTTTTAAGGGCGTGTGGGCAAAAAAAGTAAAGGAAGGGGGGAAGCGAAGGGCCGACGATGAGGGAGACCGAGGGGTGGGCGACGAGAGGAGGGCGAGGTTGAGGAGGAGGATAGAGAGAAGAGGAAGAGAGAGAGAAGAGAGAGAGAGACGAGAGTGAGAGGAGATGAGAGAGAGAGAGAGCGAGAGAGCGGAGGAGGAGGGGGAGAAAGAGAGAGAGAAAGGGAGAGGAGCAAAGAGAGTGAGAGGAGAGAGGGAGAGAGAAAAGAAAGAGAAAGGAGAAGAGGAGAGATGAGAGCAGGAAGGAAAGCAGATTGAGCGAGAGGAGAGGGGAGATTACGGTGAGGAGAGAGAGAGAGAGAAGAAGATGAGAAGAGGAGAGAGAGACGAGAGAGAGGAGAGAGGAAGGAGGAGACGAGAGAGGGAGGAGAAGAGAAAGAAAAGAAAGAAAGAAGAAAAGAAAGGAAAGAGAAAGAAAGAGAAAGAGGAAAGAGAAGAGAAAGAGAGAGAGAAAGAGAAGGAAAGAGAAGAGAGAGAAGAGAGAGAGAGGAGAGAGAGACGAGAGAGAGAGAGAGAGAGAGAGGATGGAGAGAGAGAGAGAGAGAGAGAGAGAGAGAGAGAGAGAGAGAGAGAGAGAGAGGTGAGAGAGAGAGAAAGAAGAGGAAAGAGGATAGGAGAGAGAGAAAGATGAGAAGAAGAGAGAGAGAAAGAAAGGAAGAGAGAGAAGATGACAGAGAAAGAAAAAGAAAAGAAAGAAAGAAAAAAGAAAGGAAAGAACGAATTAAAAAAAAAAGAACGAGAGCAAAGATTATCCGTGACCTCCCTCGCGTAAATAACTTTGCCTCTCGATACCCGTTCAATCTGGAATCCATCACTCACTCCCAACATGCAATTTGTGCATTTTTCGCCATGTTGATGGGGAGTGGGGGGGGGGGAGGGAGTGCAGAACTCTAAGGGACTTGGACCGACAGTTTCACTTTCTCTCTTATACGCGAGAGTCCTTTATTTTCTTTTTCTTCTCCTCCTCCTCCTTCTCCTCTTCTTCTTCATTCTTCTTCTTCCCTCCTTCTCCTTCTCCTTATTCTCCTCTTCTTCTCCTCTCCTCCTCTCCTTCTCCTTCTCCTCCTTCCTCCTCCTCCCCTCTTCTTATTCTTCATTTTTCTTTCTTTTTGGATGGGGTGTGCGGGATAAAGTCGAGAAACTTGTAAGCGCGTCGGAAATGTTCTCCGGGTGGGGGTTGGGGGAAGGAGGAGGGGTGGGGGAGGGGAGGGAGGAGGGGTGGGGGGGGGAGGGAGGAGGATTCTACGAGGCACTGTGTCCCTTAAAGCGTGTGCGTGGGGCGGACGGAATTGTGGGGAGGGGGGTGAAGGGGGATGGTGGGGTGAAGGAGGAAGGAAGGTGGAGAATGGCGGGGGGAAGGTCGAAGGCGAGAGAGGAGGAGGTGGAGGGTAGCGGAGGAGAAAAGGAGTTGGAGAGGAGGCAGGGGGAAGGAAGGGTGGAAGGGAGAAAGGAAAGGCGGAAGGTGAGGGGGGAAGAAGGGAAGTTGGAGAGAGGAAGAGAGGAAAGATGGATGGGAGAGAGAGAGAGGGAAGGAAGGAAGTTGGAGAGAGGAAGAGAGGAAAGATGGATGGGAGAGAGAGAGAGGGAAGGAAGGAAGTTGGAGAGAGGAAGAGAGGAAAGATGGTTGGGAGAGAGAGCGGGAAGGAAGGAGAGAGGGAAATGTAGAAGGGAGGGAGGGAGGGAGGGAGGGAGGAAAAAGGGTTGTTTTAAAGCTGCGGACCATCCAAGACCAAGACCTGAGTGCTAAAGGTTACGCCACAGGCCATCTTGACACAGCTGATGACTCGTAAATTGAGGGCAACTTCAGTCACTTCAAACTCTTTCTCGTTTGCATTTCCTCTTTCTCGCCCATCCGTCTCTCTATCCCCTTCGCCGATTACGTGTCTGCCTCTCTGTCTGTCTGTCTGTATCACCATCACTCTCTCTCTCTCTTTCTCTCTGTCTGTCTCTCCATCTCACTCCCTCTCTCCACCTAACCTCCCTCCCTCTTCCCTCTCCCTTCTGAAAACAGAAATAAAAAGACAGGATAAAAAGGTGAGTCCCGAATTCCTACAGCCTCTTTGACCCTCTTTTGCTCCTCCATCACGCTACTCTCTCTCTCTCTCTCTCTCTCTCTCTCTCTCTCTCTCTCTCTCTCTCTCTCTCTCTCTCTCTCTCTCTCTCTCTCTCTCTCTCTCTCTCTCTCCTTCCTCCCTCCTTTAGTCCAACCTAAATGCAGCTATGACACATGTGTATTCATCTACAAGCTCATTCATGGGAATTATCCGCAATTTCTAATGCCCTTGCAAACTGTAGGGACCACATCAAGTGTCGTGAAACGCCAAGTAAATTCTCTTTATGTTAAGAGATCGAGTGCTGATACAGGGGCACGACAAATGGAAATACGTGGACCCAAGTTATGGAACATGTTACCAGATAATATAAGAGGCATTAATAGCTTTTGTAATTTCAAAACGAAATTAAAAGAACGCCTATTAAATAATCAATTGTAAATATGAATGTATTTTTGTAAAGAACAACCATTGTCATTAATGGAATAAAGTGTTTAGACTTTTGACTTTGACTGACTCTCTCTCTCTCTCTCTCTCTCTCTCCTCCCCGTGTCCATGTGTTCGTGCGTGTGTGTGTGCGTGTGCGAGAGGGTTAAGCATAAGCCGCGGGACCCTCTGGAGCCTTGCTGCGGGCCAGCGGCGGCGTCAAATCCCCCCTCCCCCCACTCTCCTCCCCTCACTCCCCCCCCCCACTCTCCTCCCCTCACTCCTAATCTTTAACCCCCCCCCCCACCGATAGAGGAGAGGGAGGCTCCCATGCCCTAGGGTATGGGGCGCCGTTACACATCCACAGATATACAGATACACATAAAAAACACATATATTCTCTGCCTGTCTGTCTGATGGTCCGTCTGTCTACACACAGATACGTATAAACATATCTCTGATACTCTGTAGGCATGTCTGTCTTTGTGTCTATCTCCTTCACTCTCTCCCTCCCCTTCGCTGACTACGTGTCTGACTCTCTGTCTGGCTGTCTGTCTGTCTCTCCATCTCTCTCTCTCTCTCTGTTTCCCCCCCTCTTTCTCTTTCTCTCTCACTCACTCCCTTCTTCTCTCTCTCCCTATCTGTTTCCCCCTTCTTTCTTTTTCTCTCTCCCTCCCTCCTTCCTCTCCTCTCTTCTCCCTCCCTTCCTCCTTCCTCCTCTCTCTCTCCTCTTTCCCCTCCTCCCTCTCTTGCGGTCTGTCTATAGAGGCGTGAACAAACCCCGTGCTTGTCCCGTTAGCTTCCCTTCGGCCCATTTGCTTCTGGAACTGGACATGCAGTAGGGCCACGTGTCCTGTCATGCGCCTGAATCGGGAATGTGTCATGTCATGCGTTTGAATCGAGAGAGATGGAGAGCGGGGGGGAGCGGGAGAAGTCATGTCATGCGTCTATGATTGGGCGAGTGTCTTGTCATGCGCCCGAATTGGATGTGCAATGGCATGCGTGTCATGTCATGTATTTGTACCTGGTTTGTGTCATGTTCTGCGCCTGAATTGGGTGGGTGTCATGTCATGCATGTTGATAAACCTAGAAACATATTCCACCACCAGTAAGAAAGCAATTGTAAAAAAGAATTAAGAACGGAATGAAAAATACTCAATCGAAATAAAACAACAACAACAACGACCCTTAACTCTTTAAGGCATGATATTCCCTCAACCAAATCTCTAACACAAACAAAGACACCATCCCTCGCTAAAAGGCAAAACAAGAGAACACAAATACACACACACACAAAAAAAAACCCTCATAGGACTTTTCCAGCCCTTGAAGTCCACGCGCAGGGACCCCACCCCTCCCCTACCCCCAATTCCCTAGTCAGCCTCCCCCTCCCCCCTCCCCCTACCCCCAACCCCCCTAGTCAGCCTCCCCCTCCCCCCCCGCCCGGACCCACCCTCCCCTCCCCCCTCCCCCCCCCCTAGTCAGCCTCCCACCTCCCCCACGCGCCCGGACCCCGTAACCAGCCCCCCTTTCCCCTACCCCCTTCCCCCTCCCGCCCTAAAACGAGGGACAGAGATTCCGCTAAACAAGTGTCGGCGCGCGGGCGGACACGGCGAGGATAGATGGGCGTAGCAACCTCGCTGCGCCGTTTCCCCTCTTCCTTTTTTAAACCTCCCTCTCCTCTCTCCCCTCTCCTTCTCCCTCCTCGTTTCCTCTCCTCGCCTTCCTCTCCCCTCTCCCTCCCCTTCTCTCCTTCTCTCCTCCTCGTTTCCATCTCCCCTCGGCCTTCACTCCCCTCTCCCTCCCCTTCTCTCCTCCTCGTTTCCATCTCCCCTCGGCCTTCACTCTCCCTCTCCCTCCCCTTCTCTCCTTCTCTCCTCTCGTTTCCATCTCCCTCCTTCACTCTCCTCTCCCTCCCTTCTCACCTTCTCTCCTCCTCGTTTCCATCTCCCTCGGCCTTCACTCTCCCTATCCCTCCCCTTCTCTCCTCCTCGTTTCCATCTCCCCTCGCCCTTCCTTCTCTCCTTCTCTATCCTCCTCATCTCCGTCTCCCCTCGCCCTTCCCTCTCCCTCCCCTCCCCCTCACTCCTTCCCTTTCCTCTTCATCTCTGTCGCCCGTCTCCCCTCTCCCTTCCTTCTCCCTTACTCTCTGGTCTCCTTCTCTTTCCTCCTCATCTTCCTCCTTCCTTGCCCTTCCCTTCTCTCTTCTTTCCCCTCTCCTTCCTTCTATTTACTCCTCTCTCTCTCCCTCGTCCTTCTATCTCCCTCTCCTTCACCCTTCCCATCCCCCCTCTCCATCCCTTTACTCCTCATCTCCATCCCCCCTCTCTCCTTCCCTCCCTTCCGCCCCCCTCACTCCCCCCCACCACCATAATTCCATTCCGGTTCCCTAAACAACCCATCCCATCCCTCCCCCCTCTCCCTCCCTTTCTCCCTCCATCCCTCCTCCTCCACCCCCCACCTAGACCGCGGTTCCCCAAACAACCCATCCCATCCCTCCCCCCCCTTCTCTCCCTTTCTCCCTCCATCCCCTCCTCCCCCTCTCCCTCCCCCTCTCCCTCCATCCCCTCCTCCCCCCCCCCACCAAAAACCGCCGAGGGGGAAGCCCGCAACAACGGAGGGGAAACCGCTTCGCTCCCCTCGCAGCCTTCCGCCGACGACGAGGGGGACCCGGTTTCGCGCAACCAGAACTGTCGCGTCGAGAATGTGCGCGCGAAGGGAACCCCGCGTTACGCCCCCCCCCTCCCCCCTCCGCGTCCCTTAATGGTGCTCGAGTGAAATCGGAGTTGTGAAGTTCCAGTCGAGTCGCGGGGGAAACGGTAGCGAACAATTTAGATAGATAGACAGACTAAGATAGTCATAGAGCGAACAGATAGATAGACAAAGATAGTCATAGAGCGAACAGATAGATAGATAGACAGTCATAGAGCGAACAGATAGAGATAGACAAAGATAGTCATAGAGCGAACAGATAGATAGATAGACAAAGATAGTCATAGATAGATAGACAAAGATAGTCATAGGAACAGATAGATAGATAGATAGATAGATAGATATATAGACAAAGATAGTCATATAGCGACTACTTCAGCAATGGAAAATGGACAGATAGATAGATAGACAAAGGCAGTCATAGAGCGAACAGATAGATAGACAAAGATAGTCATAGAGCGAACAGATAGATAGATAGACAAAGATAGATATATAGATAGTCATAGAGAGAGAGACAGATAGATAAATAGAGGTAGAGAGATAGGCAGAAAAATAGACAGAGATAGAAAGAAAGAAAGAAAGAAAGAAGAGAGAGAGAGAGAGAGAGAGAGAGAGAGAGAGAGAGAGAGAGAGAGAGAGAGAGAGAGAGAGAGAGAGAGAGAGATCACTCACGAACACTATACACAACGAACCACATCCAACTACCACTCAGGAAAATCAAACAATCAATCATATAAATAAAGCCTAATTAAACAGTGAAATAAAAGATGGCAGTACTAGCAATAATAAACAGTAATAAAACAACAATAATTCCCAACTACTAGGAAATCTCTCTTCACTCCACTCACGGGAGGAAATCATCTTTCTTCCTCCCTCTCTCCACCTCTATCCATTCCCTTCCCCCCATCTCCACATCCCCACCCTTCCCTCCTCCACCACCCCCACTCTCCACCATCTCCACTTCCTCCTACCTCCTCCACCTCCACCCCCCTCACCCCACCCACACTCCCCCCTACCTCCACCCCCCACCCCTCCCCTTCCACCTCCACCCCCAACTCCATCCACACCTCACCCCCAAACCCACCCACACCTCCCCCCTCCACCTCCACCCCCACCCACCACCTCCACCTCCACACCTTCACCCCCACCCACACCTCCCCCTCCACACCCCAACTCACCCCCACCCACACATCTCCACCCCCCCAACTCACCCCCACCCACCCCTCCCCTTCCACCTCCTCCACCAACTCACCCCCACCCACCTCCCCCCTCCATCTCCACCCCAACTCACCACCACCCACCCCCCTTCCACCTCCACCCCCAACCCCCCACACTCACCCCCACCACCCCACACCTCCTCTCCAATTCTTAAAACAAACAAACAAAAAACAAAAAAAAAAAATCAAATCCCCCACATAAACAAACAGCCAAGACGTCCGCGGATATCTTGCACAATATCTCCCTTTCCGGCCCAGGGCAGCCTCCGGTCGCGATAATGGATAAGGATAGGGAGGCGCCGAGGGGGTGGGGGGAGGGGGACGGGGGACGGGGAGAGGAGGGGAGATGAAGAGAGGAGCGGTGAAGGGGGAGGCTGGGTGGGTGGGAGAGAGAGGGGAGGGGTGGGGAGGAGGGTGGGAGGGTGGGGTGAGGAAAGTGAGGAGGGGAGGAGCGTGAGGAGGGAGGGGAGGGAGGGAGGGAGGGGAGGGGAGGGGAAGGGGAGGAGCGGTGAGGGGAGGGTGGGGGTGAGGGAAAGTGAGGAGGAAAGGAGGGGAGGAGCGGTGAGGAGGAGGTGAGGAGGGTAGGGGAGGGAATGTGGAAGTGGACAAGAGAAGGGAGGGAGGGAAGAGAGGAGAGGGGAGGGAAGGAGGGGAGGAGGGGAGGGGAGGGAGGGGAAGGGAGGGGAGGGGAGGGAGGGAAGGGAGAGGAGGGGAGGAGAGGTGGAGGAGCGCTGAGAAGAGAGAGGAGGGGAGAGGGAGAGGAGGAGAGGAAGAGAGGAGGGAGGGGAGAAGGTGGATGAGCACTGAAGGGAGGGGGGGTGTGGAGAAGGATGAGGAGATGTGAAGGAGCGCCGAGGGGAAGGGCGGGGAGGGGAGGGGGGGTGAAGGGTGAGGGGTGAGGGGGTAGAGG